TACAAGTGGTTTTAGCTATGTATGGATTATGCAAGATGTTGGTGATGCCACTACTTTTATATCTACATTCAGAAGACGTTTGATTGATATGTACATTCAATCCTGGCAGCAAAGTATTGAATCATCATCATATTTATCACACTATTCTAGTTTAAAGAACTTATTCCAATGCGAAACATATATCCATAAACTTGATAATAGAAACTTAGTTAGATCGATGTGTAAATTTCGTATATCTGTTCATGATTTCAGGGTAAATCAACAACGTAAAAAGAACGTCAATGATAATTCTGATATAGAATCTAATTGTTTGCACTGTGTATATGAATGTTGTAGAAAATGAATACCATGTTTTCTTTATCTGTAATACATATTTTCTGCTCCGTAATGAATACTTCTTGTCCATCAAAAAATATTGTAAAACTAGATTAACTTTGCAACAAATATTAAACACACATGATGTAAATATACATGTATTACGTTTAACATCCATATATCTGCTAAAAATATTTAGCTTAAGATCTTCTTAATGTAATTTTGGTCATGTGACAACGACTGTATGTCTTACAACACAATTGTACTATGGGTCATGTGACCTCAAATACGGAATAAAAATTTGATTGATTGAGTATTGCAGCATACTATTGCGATTGCGATAGTCTATTGCTACCAACTATTGCAATAGCTTTTATTCTCCTTGAATTGTCTCATTTGAAGTCATTTCCCAAATTTATGCATTATATGAAATAAAAACAAGTTGAAGTAGTGCCAGTCTCGTTTACAAACTGACAAGAAATCCAGATCAAGTAAACAGTTAAAACATAAACTCAATGAAGTTGCAAGTCTGCACCAAAACATTCTGTATTTATCGCTGCGCATTTATCGATGCATCGATAGTTTTCGTTTCTACCATCGACTTATTGCTATCGGAGACTCAGCAATTGCAATCAATCGATAATTCGATGCATCGTTACAGCCCTTATTAATTTATGTTTTGTATATTCACAATACTACACACGTAATCAACAACATTTCAAGGTGAAACAAGCACAAAAAACTTACAATTTTGGCCTACATGAAATATGCACAAATTGAGAGAAAGGCTCAAATAAACTCTTTCTAAATTCGTTTTGCTTCGTTTCATGAATATGGGTCATTCCATTTTACCTACAAAGAGAAATCAACCATGACATGGGTTACGACTAATGGGACGGATGACTAATGGGCTGGCACCACCCGAGTACTCGAAATACCTCTCAAGCAAAGCATAGCGTACCCGGCATGACATTACACGATACGAGGATGGTTTGATCAATATTGAGTGAGTGAGTGAGTTTAGTTTTACGCCGCTTTTAGCAATATTCCTGATCAATATTGAACTTAGTAATACACATACATGTTGTTAAACCATTACAGGCATGCAATATGTTCCCATCATGCATGTTAATACTTACCTCATTCCGACTTGATATCGTGACTTACATTTTCCATTGGTATAATAATGTAAAATCAAAGACTACTACAAAATAAGGAAAACCACAGGCTTGAGTCTGCATATTGATTTATTTATTTTCATGGGAATTTCAGTTGTCGACAAGATAGTTACTTAATCATTTTAAGAAGTGAAGTCTCAAAGAATGTATAATATCAGACGATCACGGTCGCTCAATGTTTAGTACATGGCAGAGAGACAGTCTGACAACGTAACCCAATTAGAGTTACCGCCCCTTATCGAGTCCTCAAGTCCTAGAAAATGGACTCTAGTCAAGTTAAACCCGACGTGGAAGTGGAAGCCCTAGAATGAACATATGCCTTTAAGGCCTTTAAGGCATATGTTTATTCTAGTAGTAAATTCCAAGGTTAACCTTTGACATCACCAGGCTTTTGCAAGGCACCCATTGCCGTAGTCTCACAGCCCCTGAACCACATTATTTCCCCTACTGCCTAGCCCTCCCTGCAATGTAGTCTGTCTCACAGCCCCTGAACCACATTATTTCCCCTACTGCCTAGCCCTCCCTGCAATGCTATTTAAAGGGCCACTGATGCAGAGCAATTTCCGTGGACTGGTTGTTGCTTTTGTTACTGTTTTTCTCCCGTGAGTACCCGAATGATATCCCAGAATTCATGACTGGTTCATTACCTCTGCTGTGCCACCCTCATGCACAACTGATAGTATACGTATAGACTGATCAACGAAGATGAAATCTTTTTTACCCGATAATCTTGATTTTGTTGTAAATTTATGTAGACTGCATGTGATGAATAATTTGGTTTCTTATAAAAAAATATTCACTTTGATAAAAATGCTGATTTTGATGTAAAATTTTGATTTCAGAGTAATGTTGACTTGATAAAAATGTTAACGTAAATGTATGTAGAATTTGATTTAAGAAATAGTTTGACCTTGAATTTGGTGAGAAGCCTGATATAATAGCATTGTTTGAAATTAAGGCTAACTAAGCACATGGGGAATCTTGGGGAGAGTAGTGAGCTTGGGTTCACTACTAGTCAATCTGAACGTTTATTAAATGGCAATATTTTGCAAACAAATGAAAACAGTTTAAGTTTAACCATCTGCCAGTGGTTAAAAATGTTAGGACTGAAATAACGAAGTCAATGAACGTCTTTATAGTTTGTCTTATAATCCTAATTAGTTTATTATCATATTTGTATGCATTTTGAAACTTAATAAAATGCACACGATCTGCGTATACTTAGTGAATTTATAACATGACTGTTATATCTAGACATCGTATAGATTGCCATCGTGTATCATATTTCACACACACGCCCTTAGTGTGACCTAGTGTATGTTGTCTGCCTCATTAAACTTGACAGCAAAAAAAATGATTCTGTTGAATGCCATAACAAACAAATTAAAACAAAATGCAAACATTAAAATTTAAAACAGACTAAAGTTATAGCAACGATATCATGCTATTACCTTGTTAGGGGGAAATATCCATCAATATCCACTTAAAGGAATGAGATGCCATTCATCTGCAGCTGACAAAGAATCTTGTTCCATGTCATGTGTCTTTTAGCAGTCTAATGTGCGAAAAAGTGATCTATCGTTTCAGTTTTTTCACATTGGTATTATCCTATTGGTCCGCCATTCTTTATAAAGGTAATTTAGTTAGCCAATAATGAGCAATCAATCAATGTATTGGTGGTTGATCCTTTGAAGGAAGGACGTTGTTTTTACAAAGAGACTTTACGACAGGGTGTATTCAGTATAGATTAGTAAATATACATCCATAAACACTACCTTTTGACAAATCCGCTGTGCAGGATAACAGCAATTAATCAATCAGCGTATTATCGGGATTATTTCAGGATAACCTATTATCAATTGTTTCTTCTGTGTCAGAATAGACTCCGAGTTTATCGAGGATGATCTGCTGGAATACACTGAAACTCAAAACCATTCGTACTGGGACTTTCTTATAGACTATTTCCATCTTAAACGGTTCTCCGCCGACAAGGTTATAAACAGGTTTGGTAAAACACTTCTTGACATGTGCTCCGTTTTTAATATTCATATTATGAATGGTCGTTGTGGCAGGGGTGCACAACTCGGAGATTTTACTTACATAGGTCTGAATGGTACCAGTGTTATTGATTATGTTATTTCGTCAGCAGCATTATTTGACTATGCAAATGATTTCAGTATACAATCACGCATAGAATCAGACCATCAATCAAAAGCAAACTTGAAAAGTTGGTTTGACTCAGATTGCGAAAAACTAAAAACCGAAAGATGCAAAATTAATCAATAAGTTCCGGAAATGTAAAGACAAGCATTCATTTGATCAATATTGCATCGTAAGAAACCAATATAATGCACTTTGCAAGAAAAAACGTATTGACTATTTTAGAGAAAAACGTATAACAATAGAAAATAGAATATCTAATTCCAAACATTTCTGGTCTGAACATAAACGTTTAACTAACCATCAAGTAAGGCAAAACAATATTCAGATACACGACCCAGTTTTGCCAACATTGCCAACGTTGGGCCAACGTCCGAATGCTATCTGGGGATTGGTTGGCACACTTTGGGCAACTCTTTTGTGGTGTTCAAACAGTAGATTATAAAAATGACCATGATTATCATGACTATACAGAGCAGACCAACCTGAGCCGGCAAAATTCAGAACTTACGGCAGATATACTTGATTCACCAATCACTAGAGAAGAGATTTTTGAAAGTATTTGACAATCTTAAATCAAACAAATCACCAGGATTTGATGGCATGATATCAGAATTCTTTAAACGCTCGTCCTACCTTATCGCACCATACCTAGAACTACTATTTAATATCATATTGGAAAATGGTACTTTCCCACACTGTTGGACGTTTGGTATCATTGTTCCGATCCATAAACATGGTGGTGCAAATAACCCAAATAACTATAGTTAGTTAATATACTTAGTATATTTAGTAAAAGTTCACTTTTATAGTTAATAAGAGACTTGTAAGCTGGGGAGGTACAATGGATGAGATAAATGAATCTCAAGCTGGATTTAGACATGGATATACCACTGTTGACAACATGTTTATTTTACAAAGTATAATACAGAGATATTTGAATTTAAAAGGAGGAAAAGTATATGCCCTATTTGTAGATTTTGCGAAAGCCTTTGACTCTGTCCAACGCAACAAGCTTTGGTCTCTATTTCAATGTCATGGTCTCAGTAACAAAATGAGTAAACTTTTGACTAATATGTATGAGAACGTGAAGGCATGTGTTAAAAATAATCAAGAATTTTCGGAAACGTTGGAATTACAACTTGGTGTAAGGCAAGGATGTATACTTAGTCCATTCCTGTTTTCATTTTTCATCAATGAGCTTACTGTTCAAATCGAAACTAATTGTTCAAGTGGTATACAACTTCATCCAGAAATAGTTAAAATCTTCCTTCTGTTGTTTGCAGACGACGTTGTGTTGTTTTCAAGCACCGTTAGTGGCCTCCAAAATCAAATAAATGAACTTGAACATTACTGCGATAAATGGAAATTAACAGTAAACATACGTCATTCATGCAGTCGTTAACCATAAGACTCAAAGACATATATCTTCGAACATGGTGTGAGAAAATATCTTTGTCAAGTAAATGTTTTTACTATTCAAAATTTAAAAAAGATCTATTCAATGAAGTATACTTATCATGTGTTAATATAAAGAAATTTAGGCGATCACTAGCAAGATTCTGATGTTCATCTCACGATTTGTTGATTGAAAGCGGCAGATATAAAAATGTTAAAAGAGAAGAGAGAATATGTACACTTTGTCGTTTAAATGAAATTGAAGATGAATATCACTTTCTCCTCATCTGTCCATCATATAATTCAATACGTTGTAAATACATTAAAAGATATTACTATATCCATCCAAGCATCATAAAAATTCTCTACCCTTATAAGCAGTAAAAGTCAAAATATATTACAAAATCTAGCCATGTACATCCACAACGAAATAAAGATTCTATTCCATTATCAGTTAATCCTTTGATCGATGCTTGTTTTGAAACTCAGCTGATAATTTCTCTTGCTGCACTTCCATTCGCATATTACATAAGATGTAATACATTTGCCACATCAGACCTCAATTTCTAATGATGAGTATTTACTCCAGACACAAGAAATGCCAAATGGGAACCTTTGTCGGGTAATCTGAGTAGTGTTATCACTAATAATACCTGTTATAAATTCATTAACTGACCATCAAGTGCATGATGACAAATAACGTGTAGGTTTACCACCAAACAAGGGTTACAGCAAGAGAGTAGTAATCGCTGTATTGCATGCAAGTTTGATTGTCTGAAAAAAACTTATGGGCCGACACTGTTTTGAGGATACGAACAGCATTTGCTGTGTACTTCGTTAAAAACTGTATATACCTAAGTACCTCAGTAAAATTTCAGATTTCATTTAGCAATGGCAAAGTGGGTTTTTTAGTTTATGGATTCAAATATATCAAATGTGTGTTTTTGATATCATAGCATACGTAATAGACATCATATTTGTACACGATTAAATATCCAGGTAAAAACGAAGAAATAGGATCAAATTGGATCAGTCACTATACCATCCAAACATTTGAAAATCTGAAAAAGCCTACACTGCCTGGGATACTTTATAAATCAGACAAGAACTGTAGGGGATATTTTCAAAAAACGGCATCTTATGGGTATCCACCCTTATTATCATAGGGGGTCATTCTCTCTTATCTAGCACGTTTTGTGTTTTAGCATAACTATTAATCCCCTTAGCTGCTGGGTGAACGAGAAGACCCCTTCCTAATGTCCCACTGATTAGGTTGAAGAAATTCTGCCACAGTGGACAGCAGCCCATACCCCGTGTCCGTCACGGTCGAGGGAGCAGGGGCTGACCAATTTGCAGCTAGGTTTCGTAATTAGACTGTTGGCTGGAAACATTAATCGCTCTGCATCAGTGGCCCTTTAAGCCCTAAAAGAAGCAAGTCTAGATTTTCCCAGGTTCAGAATCTCCCAACTCACAAGGACTCCTTTTCAATTTAAATGAGTCTATTTGTTATTATCCAAATTATACAGATTCAGGGACTAACCGTCAGTCTACCTTAGCCCCACAGTCCTGTCCTGTAGATAACATCTACACTGCTGAGGAGTAGCCAATGGGAGACTCCGGCATGCATATTGTCAGTACAAATGTTCTTATTGTTGGTTCCTAGGTTGCGGTCTACGCATAGCGATGTAATTAGGTAACGCAGCATAAAATATACTTGTTAAGTGGTTTCATCAGCTGGGCTGCGCTCATAGCACATGCGCAGTGAAATAGGTTCGCGCAGCTTGGAAGCGGGTTGTGCGGTGAATACTCGGTGGAGGCTTTGATGTGAGCTATTTTTCTAATGTTTTGTTGATATTTCACAGGCTCGAGCTTTTTATATGTTATGACAGTAGATTACCGATTTAACTGTTTATATAATTTCATTTGTCTATTTCACCACACGTTCTTCTTACCGAGTCACTTTCTCAGTTCGATACTTAAAAGCAATGTCATTATTTAGCATTGACAGAATTTCTAACTGTGATATAGATATGTCGTTGTCACAGACAAAACTCAATGTCTGTTTTATTGACACCTATGTGTCTGCCTGCCCGTCTGCTAATGACAATATTCAATACACAACTTCGATCATATATGGGATAATTGTACGATTGAACAGGCGATTTTACTGGAAAACTTACACTTAGACGCATTAAGAACTATATGCGGAGCGGTTCGTGGCACCAGTCATGATAAAATATCCAAGGAAACCAATTATAGCACACTGAAACAAAGACGATATCGCTCTGTATCATCGTCTGACTCCTGATTATCTAAATGATCTTGTACCAGGTAGAGTATTTCAACAAAGCAACTATAATATTAGAGATAGTACTTCCATTCAAACTACTAACTGTAGGACGCAAAGATATTCTCAATCATTTTTACCGAGCGCGATTATGTCGTGGAATTCATTGCCCGATGGAGCTGTTAACGCTATTTCCGTGAGGCAGTTTAAAACCATGATAAATCCAACAGAAACTGACAACTACTTTGATTTAAATTTTGGGACTAGATTTTGTCAAATCATCCATTGTCGCCTCAAGCTCGGCTGTAGTGATCTGAACGCAGACAGATATAATCGACATATATCAGTAACAGCTAAGTGCTCATGTGGTCATTATAACGAAGACGTCATTCACTACCTTTTTACATGTCGGAACTATCAAAATTTAAGAACAACGGTGTATTTTTATATTCAAGGATACGATGTGAAAACTACCTTATACGGTAACGGCGCATTGGATAACTCAACAAATTGTGACATTCTCAACTCATTACACCAGTTCATTTCTAAAAGTAAGCGCTTCCAGTGATTATCACCTCTACATATACGTGTATATTCAATGCAAGACAAGATTGATATAACTTGATGTTCTGCGGCAGCTCTTTTCGTTGCTGGGCACAACCAACACCATAACCAAATATTTATTATTCAATCATTTTTCTGAGTGTAATTTGTCTCAGTATTATTCTTTTCTTGTCGGACTATTTCGAATATGTATCCAGCTATATTGGAACCGTGGACTGGAGCGGCGTTTATATAAGGCACTTGGCTTGTTCGCCTATCCAGGTTTCTGCATTGACGGAATACAAATATGTTTAAACCAACTTCGATCACTGACCACATGCAACTTGAACTTAACACCTATCAGGCTATACACCATAAACAAAACGCATTGACTTATGGCCCGAGTTCGTTCTATGTTACGTTATGTAATTACACAGACAGGCAGGTGTGATACTTGTACACATGCCATGTTATGATGTCTGTTGATTGCAAAATGTTGTACACGAAAAATGAGCATGTATTTACAAAACCCAACATCTCTAAATATACACACACAATGAGCCGTGAGGTGGATTTGCAAATGAACCAGCCGTTACACTTGAGTGCACACCAGTAGTATATAAGTAATCAGTTTCGGACATCAAAGCATTCCTATGGAGAACAATAGCATTCCTAAGGAGAACAATAGCATTCCAGGGGAGAACAATAGCATTTTTAAGGAGTACTCCTACATACCAAAGGAGTTTTCAGGAGCACATTCCATAAATTCCAGGAGCTGTCCTTTAAACCCTTAACCCTATTGTATACAATGATAGCCTACACTTTGGTTCTATACCAGCCGGTAAAGAGTTAAGTGACGTCTTTATTTAACATCATGACTCACGGAGATGGGTATGTGTATTGAAATGTTATGAATAGGAACCAAGCAAATTTGATATATTGAAATCATTGCTATTAAATTTGAAATGGGTGGAATGTTGGCCACCTACATCTTTTAAATATTTGTGTTGTTTGGCATTCCATTTATCGTGTCTTGTTAACCAACCAATCAGACAGCATGTGTACCACTCTACATCCAATCAGACAGCACAAGCACTACACAATCCCATGTTGCACCTTCCACTATAAGACATTTCAAATCAGTTATCATTGCTATCATAGACCAGAAGAGTTTTGGAAAAGCATTTCTGCTCGCAATCAATATGGCGCAGAAGGTGTTGGACATGAGACGTATAGGCTTCTCAACAGACCAGTTACTTACTAGTGTGTTTCAAGAAGTGAAGGATATTGTGAATACTCAGGTACATTTGCATGAAACTATGATGCGAACAAGTGAGTTGTACAAAACCACATACACCGAGATGGCAGAGCGAATGAAGACCTTAGAAGAGAAACTGCCATCAGTATCGCCCGCTCTCTTGAGTTTGCTGTTGGATTACATGAAAATTGCTGCCACATCTGCCAACGAGAATTCAGAGAACGGAAAGCAAAAATCTCCCATCGCATCTCTTCCTAAGGCTAAGAAAACTAGAAAAGTGAAGGAGAACGAGAGCAAACCAGTGGCAAAGAGTCCACCTTAAATGACTTGTGGTTGGATTACACTCAACTCATGGAAGACATTGAACAGCAAGAGAAACAACTCATGGAGATGAATGTCGCAGGTGATTTAACAGCGGAAGATCCATATGAAGAAGAGAAACTTACTCCTTTTCAACGAAATTGTAGCATTTGTCGTCACAATACTATGCTGCGTCACGTGAGTTGCAATAGTGGAAAAGTCCAGTGTCACGTGTGTTGTAATGAACTTATTGACTGTTTGTGTGACTATGATCCAGAGGGGATGATGGAAGACATGTTATCTCAAGATTTTGAAGGACATATCCTATCGGTGTAAATTCAGAGGTGTTTTAATCATGCTTTGTAACATGGTGATGATCATTATGTACTGTAACACACTTTTGTGAATTGTAATAGGGGATAGTGGTGGAATGAATAAATAATCAAACCAAATGTGTTTTATGTTATATATATTGTTTAGTAAGTCACATTCTCCTCAGTACAACATGAGTTCCCAAAAGAAAAGCAGTGAGTTGAAACAGCAAAAAGCATTAGAAAAGTATTATTATGACCCTCACAATCCGGGCGCT